CGGTTTCGCAGAATGACGATACGCGGTTTTGTACTTTAAACGACGATATGTAAATAGCTAAACGCAACAAAAGTTCAGCTGAGCACAGACAATAAATCCTTTGAGAGTGCTTCACTTCACTTTACGCGCTTCACTCTGCATGGCGTCTTTTTTTTTTTTGTTTTGTAGAGCCAGCATTGCAATAGATTTGTGTACACATGCACTCGTATAGAAACATGTGTTCGCTTGGTTATTCGCAGTCACTCATAACTAAGAAACTATTCAGCGCAGATTGATTAATCTGTACTTTGTCCGCTTGGGAGCTCTAAACACTGGGTTAGGATGTCATGTTAGCATAGCCATGCATGAGGGCAAAAAGATTTGTGCATATGTGCAATTACATGCCAGTGAAATGTAAATAACGGTGTAAAATTGTATGGTTTCATTTGTGAATCGCTTAATGACATATGCGCCTGGACTTTTGTTTGCACTAAACGTTGCTAAGTAGGTTGAAATTGAATAAATTACAATTGCAACTGCAATTAAACCCATTATAGCCATTTCAAAAAACTCAACTCAACTGGTCGCTGTTGGACATTTCTCTTAATTGGAATTAGGGACTTTTAAACTTTTTAAAATCGAAAATACTGACACAAGAACTGCTATAATACTACAGATAGTCGCCCGCATTGCCCCAAATAGAGTTAATAATGCCGTTATACTAAATTAATAAAGATCTTTCAAATGGCGCCATCCTTCTTTCATTTCGAAAATTGAGTAAAATTTTATCGCTAATTTAGTAAAACTAGTGTTCGCCCAGCGATTGAACATCAACCACTAAAAATAAGGAGAGCAGAGGTGAATTGAGTTGAGTTAGGTAGATTCGATAAGTTAACGTGAGTTGAGCTGAGTTGAGGTGAAATAACAGTAGTTGGGATGAGTACAGTTTAGGAAAGTTGAAGTGAGGTGAGGTAAATAGAGTTGAGATGAAATGAGGTGAGTTGGGTTGAGGTGAGTTAATGTGAGATGAAGTGAGCTGAGAGGAGTTGATGTGAGGTTATTTGAAATGAGCCATGGGGAGTTGCGGTGAATTGCGTTGAACGATATAACAAAACATAATAGAGCATAACACAACGTAAAATAACATTGCAGAACATTGCATTACATAATATAACATAACGTAACACTACATGACGTAACATAACATATCATAGCAAAACATCGCATAACATAATATAACAAAATATAGCATAAAAGAGCTTAACATAACATAACGTGACATCACATAAAATAACATAACATATCATAAAATAACAAAACGTAACAACACAACTTAACATAACACCACAACATAACATAACATATTTCATTCTTCAGTTTTATCTTTTTCTTGGTCTCTATCTTTATCTCTATCACTTTCTCTACCCCTATCTTTCTTTTTATGCTTTTTGTTTATCTGTATATTTATGTTTATCTTTATATTTACCTTTTCCTTTACCTTTGTTCTGATCTTTATCTTCATTATTTGGTTCATCTGCATATTCAAATTATCAAATTTATCATTATATTAATTATGTATTTAACTTTGCCTTCCTCGTCTTCATCTTTAGGTTGCTGTACTTTTATTATTATCTTGGCCTTTATCCTTTTCTTAATCTACATATTCAACTTTTTGTATTAATCATAATTTACATCTTATGATAATCAATATACACAAACTCAAAAATAATTAATAAAAAACACAACAGTTTAAGAAATTCGTGAACTGGTAACATTATCTGAGACTTGGGAGAAAAACTTTACTCGAGTTTTTTAGCAATTGAATTCCAAAATGTCGTCCAATGAAACATCCAACATTAATTTGCAAGGGTGACGATACATGTTCCACAGACCGCACATTAAAATGCCAATGTTTTTTTTTTTTTGTCATAGAGGTCGATGTATCCGCGCTTCTTATAATAAAATAAAATACTTACTATATTTGAGCCAACTGAAATAGTTTTCTTTATAGGAGCTGGTACAGTGCGCTCTCCCAAAGTGGCACTTCGAGAATATGTAAAGCCTTTTAAAGGAAGAACATTTCTCCCCACCGCCGGGTATAACCTCGCTTCGTGAGGATAAATAGCGATTAATCGCCGCTCCATGACGTCCATTTATTGATCCCCTACAGCATGTGGAAAACTATCGAATTTCGCGAATATTCCGCACATATTTCAATCTATTTCTGTGATTGACGGAATCACGGAAATTCAAAAATACATGGTGCTTTTTTATTGAACGCCACTTCCAAATTGGCTTTGTAGTGGTTCGGAATCGTACTTGAATTTGAATCAGTATGACTTATAGCAGCCGTGTCTACTATGAAATGAACCCAGTTAAAAATCCACCTCGATATGCTCTATATTATACAGTTTTTCAATTCGGAAGTAAAGCGGGGGGTCCAACAAATCTTGTTCGCTTGTTTTCAATTTCTTGTTCTCTCCCGATCCAGTTAATGACGATTTTGAAGTCCACCCCCAAAGTTTACAGCGAATTTACACGAAAATTTCTTCTGTAGCTGTCGAAATTTTAATTTTCATTTCTAAAAAATATTCATATTCATATATATGAGACCCAGCGTCGGCTCCAAAGTAATGCAATCACATGACAATATGCATAAACAATGTATCAAATCCTAGATACATTTTTTTCAAATTACTTTCATTGGCAATTGATGGCAAGCCCTTATTTTGTATGCATTACATTTTGATAAAAAATGTATACATATATCATCATCACATAAGCTGCATTGCCCTTTGCCAAAAAGTAATCTAGTGTTTACTTGCCGCATTACTCTTTAAAACATTCTGCATTACTTTGAGCGTAGTGCTATGCCAGAGGTAATGCAGAAAGAGCGACATTGCATTGATGAAAAGTAATGTAGCGAAGCCCTCACACCTTACCGCCAATGTCACACAATGTTAAATGTAATGCATACTTCAATAGAAAAAGAATCGAGAGCGGAATCAAATGTAATTACTTGTCATCAGTGAGCCATCGACCCAAGTTTCAGTTCCCTAGCATAATTTGTTTTAGAAATATGTCGGTTTTCACATTTTGGTCTACATTTTAGATGCTACCCTTCTTAGAAATCGAGCGAACGGTGCCCTCAAAAAAAGGAACTTCAAAATTTTCTTGTGGCGTATTTATATATAGATTTTTTAAGTCTAGTGTTAAATGCTGTATATTTTTGCCGCTCTAGCCCTTTAGAATCGCTTATTCTTCGCGTGCCGTGCGTGTCGTTAATGCCTCTCAAGTGCTGCTTTTGTCGCCGTATTTTACGTCCCAGCATTTTGCAGCTATGTGCTCAAAAACTTATTTAACCAACTGATACCAATACCTACATGAATCGAAGGTTGGATGGATTATCAGAAGATTGCCTGATTTATACTACATAGTGACTAGGTATTATATTCCTAAAAGTATGCAACGAAAAATCCACAACCAAATAGTAAACAAGAAAATACAGATGGAATTTCATATGCAATTCTCAAACAGTTTTCGTTGTACATACATACTGTTTCAAGCAAATAGCTCGACTCATCGCAACCCAACACAGGAGCTTGCTTAAAGCTTCACAAAGCTCTCCCACTTGTAAGCCTTCCAGGCTGATAGTTATCGTTGGCCTCAGATGGCTGGGTGGCTAATGATGCCTACTATCAGGGTTCGATTCCTGCGGTGGAATTGTGACAATCGCTACGCTAAATTTTCGCCACCAAAATTCTCTAAATGGAAAGCAGTGAAGCCTTAAAGTATACAACATAGAAAAGTAACAGGTGCAATATTTAATCAACCAAATGTGACAGTATGAGGCGCATGTAACTAAATGTTGCATGTTTTTAGGCCCGCCTGATATTCTTTTGGATATTTTTGGCGATAAAAATTTGCGACAGCGAATATTGGAGTCCGGATGATGAGCCGAGCAACAGGCAATGAAAAACCACAGAGTGTATTTCTACCCTGAAAAGGGTCGGAGGCGACGTAAAACTGTAGGCACTCAATTTGTGTAACAACATCAAGACACACACTGCAAATTGTGTCAGAAGCTCGGCCAAACCATTTTACTTTCGTATAGGACTGAGTTTCTAGACAAGAACATTCATACTTTATTTAAGTAAGGAAGAAGTGGCAAAAAATACTAGAAGTAAATAATTTCCGTATTCACTGAAGGGCTTGAAATTCTCTGTAAAGTAAATGCAAGGTCCTTTTAACGGATCTCGACATTGAGAGCTGTTTAAGCGCGTCATGCGTACATGCTATGTATTACTGCAATTTATGAAATTTTTGCACATGCACTTCTCAACTGCCATGTAATTGAACTTTCTTAAGTTTTAACTAGATGGCACTTCAAAGTATGCTCGGCCTAGTCTGATGCATCCTGCGGACACTGCTTCCGGAGTCTTTTGCGGAGGTGGTAATAGTTGATTACCATTGGCCACAGTGCCTACCCACTACTTTTTGGTCCAATAAATATTTTTTTATATACATACATGTAAACATACTGGTGTCCCCTCTCACTGAGTTATTCAAAAGCTTTTTATGCTTACCAGATACAGCGAGTGTTTTGAAGTTCAAGGTATTGCTTTTAGAGAGGCCTGTAAAATCACACTCGACTCAAATGGCCGAAGTAGAATTAAACTTTGTTAAATAGAACTTTGTGAAGAAGTGAGGGGAGAATGTGATGAAATTAGCCGAGGCGGCCCGCATAACTCTTGGCCACGAAATATCAGATGAGCTGTTTCCAAACACATCAGTTGTAGATACCACAGAATTTTGAGCTAAATTATCTTAGAAAGAAGGACCTATCTAGATTAAGCGACATTTTCACAACACACTACGCATGGGGCCCTAAACTAACCAGGCTTAAGTGATATTTTTATAAGGGTCCTATTTCGATCTTGTTTTATTTATTTTCTAATAAAAACAAACAATTCTCGCCGATTCCATTAATAACTTTACACATTTCTCTCCCCCTCTTGCAGTGTGTCTTGTAATGCGCCTTGGGGGCGGCTTACCATACGACGGCGACCCCCCGACAATGAGCGCAGCTGGCAATGATTATGCAGAATTATGCGATCTTGGACCCTCACGATGGAGTTCGCGTGGCTATTATTACGCACCACCCCCACATGCGACCGCCTTGCATCCTAGTGCCGCGTACGGCCTACAACAACCACAATCCTCATCAAGCGTACCAACCGGCAGTTCGGCCGGTCTCAGTGCGCATCCCATGCGCGCACCGAGCAGTTACGAGGCGGAAGACGTGTCCTTTGGTATGATAAGTCCACCGCCGGGTGTGGTTGGTTCGTCATCGGCTGGTTTGAGTGGCACGTACGGTATTGGTTCGCGTATCGGTAATAGTACGAGTTCGTTGCGTGGCGGTCGTTCAGGGCTCTATTACTCGCCGCCCGGTACATCGTATACAATTGTAGAGCGTCCACATTCACCGCACTACTACTACAATACGGCAGGTGCGCCAACGAAAGGCGGCTCATTGCCGGGGCGCGGTTCATCTTACCTCTCGTCGACGGCCGCACCCACCAGCCACATGGCGGCCACTGGGGGCGGCGGCACGCTGCCCAACTCAACGGCGACGATGGGCGGACGCGCACACAGCAACATGGGCATGGCGAATGGCAATAAGAAGCGGCCGATTTCGCCAGAGCAGGTGCTACGCATGTTCGGTGCGACACAATCGTCTTCAGTTCCTACAAGCAGCTATCGCTGCAGCAACGGCACAAGAGATCGCACCGGACGGCGCAGTCCAGCGAGCAGTCCACCCTCGACCACGCATCAGGTGGGTGAAAGGAATTCAGTTGATAATTTATGAATAAGTGAATTGAATGTATTTTTTACCTTTTCTTTACAGACGTATCGTGAGCGAGATCGGGATCGTAGTATAACGAATATTCATGAATTAACCACACGTACCATAAGCATGTCGCGCGATCAACAGATCGACCATGGTTTTGGTATTTGTGTTAAGGGAGGAAAAGACTCAGGTAATTGATAAAAGATTAAAAAAAAAAAATATTTTGAAAATATTTATAAACATACATACATAGAACTCAAATTTTCATGGCTTCACTTGAAGTCGTTATACATATGAAGTTTTCTTTTAACTTTTTGATTATACTTAGTAGCTAGTTTTCGTTTGCCAAGTTTTGACCAAGTGTGGTGTATGATTGATACATAATTTTTATAATTTTTACTGTTCTAATAAATATTTTTCGACTAAATTTATCGATTATAAATAGTTTTTATCCTATATACATTTTTGTGGTGTTTTCTTGTTCAAAAATATCGATGTTTAGAAATCTGCAAATATTCATAAAAAAAGTACAAGAGCAGCGACTACGATAAAGTGAGATCGAAAATCATTAACACTACAAACAAAAAAATTTTTTTATTCGAAAAAATTCAACCTCCGAATATTTTTTGTCTATGCGATATATTATTAAGATATTAATAATAATAATAATAAATTGGCGCTTACACATATGTTAGTGTTTGGCCGAGCTTCTCCTCCGATTTGTGGTGTGCCCCTTGATGTTGTCACACAGAGGGATCTACAGTTTTACGCCGACTGCGAACGGCGAGTGTATTTTTATGAGAAGCTGTTTTTCATGGAAGAAATAAACTCGGAGGTTTGCCATTGCCTGCCGGGGGACGACCGCTGTTGCTTTGGCGAGGGCTTGAACCCAGGCGTTGCGGAGTGGAAGGGCGCACTGCTTACCACTACACCACAGCGGTCAAGATATTGGTATCTGCAAAATTATTAAATATTTAGCTATTATTTCATACCTCTGGGATATTTTTGATAGAGAAAATGACAAAAGATCTATCGAAAGGTCCGAAAATAACCGTTAAATATCAAGATTTTTTAGTTTTAGATCATTACAAAATCTTTATTTATTTTTATTTTTGCGTTTTCGATAAAGAATAATCGTTAAATTCGGATTTTTTTATTTTTCGGTCCAATTAAATCATTATATGTATTGTGATTTTTTAATTGTTGTTCGACGAAAACTAATTGTTACTTGGTTTGGATTTATATTTTTTTCGATCATTTTTAACCTTTATAATAGGGACTGCGACTGTATAACCGAAATAACGGTAAAAATATGATCGCAATAATAAAAAGAAAAAATAACGACAGAAATTTATTTAAATTTGATCGGAATAATAGAAATCAAATTTTAATGGTTAAATTATGATTTTTATTACAACGTTCCTGAAAATTTGAAATTTAAAGAATATAACCGAAATATTTTATATCTAAAAGTAAGGATTAGTTTTGCAAAAAAATATCGATGAAAGTTGTTACAGAAATAGAAGATCTAAGATTAAAAAACAAAAACACTTCTGTTTTGGTTTCGAAAAAGAATTGAAAATACTATTTCATTAAAAAATATTAAACGTGTCAACCAAAACTTTAACGTCGATTATTTTTGATCGAAAAAATGCCAATACTAATTACTCATTATCTTTCGCATCTGAGATATTATTTATCGAAAAACTCTTGATCAAACGTAATCGAAAAATAGTAGTATGTAAATAATCGAAAAAATTTAAATGAACAATAAACAAATTTTTGGTCAAAACACGATAAGACATCAATAAAACGTAATAATTTATAAAGAATGTAGTAATTTTAAGCTTAGAAATGGCGAAGTCGATTGCTTGTAATCGAAAATTCGTAATTAATCGAAAAAAATTA